GCCAAATTTTGACTGAATAAATGTACTTAGCTCAATTAAATTTTATCCAGAGATAGGTTGGAGTGTTATTGAAGATTATTCAAGGTATTTTTCATATTTAGTTATATGATTTTTTAGTTATTTGAAGATATATAAAACAGATGCCGACTATTGGTACATGCCGGAATTAGGTGCGTCTACCCTATATACCTTTTTTAAATGGGAATAGTTTTCTGGGTAGCCGGCCTTCGGCCTGTCCTTTTTGCAACATGTGCAAAAAGGACAGGTTCATACAGTTCTTAAAATATGCGGGGAGGTTGTATGATCCCACAAATCCAAAAGCTGAGGAAGAGAGGAAAACATTTTTGGTGGAGTCCAGAGAGACTAAAATAGAATTAGAAATTTGAGAATATATTTTTATTTTTAATAAATATGCTTTTAATTTGAATACATATATACCTTTTTTAAATGGGAATAGCTTTCTGGGTAGCCGGCCTTCGGCCGGGGATTTAAGACTTTCTCCTATGGACAGGTACCAACACCGCATACGCGACAGAATCTCCTTTTATATAGAATATTTTTCTGGGTTGCCGGCCTTCGGCCGGGGATTTAAGACTTTCTCCTATGGACAGATACCAACACCGACTACGCGACAGAATTTTCTTGTTTTTGTAGGGTTCTACGGCCCATATCTTTTGATCCACAGCAGATATAGCCTCATATCGCACCATTTTGGAAAGGTCAAATTGAGTCGGCTTTGGAGAGGGACTATAATGGACCCAAGTTCGACTTTTAGGGAGTTTTTCAGAAAAATAGGGGTCCAAAATCCAGTTTTTTGGCTGTATCTCCAAAACGGTAGAACCGGGTATAACCGGGTACCCATACCCGAACTTCCGGGTCAAATAACCGGGTACGTCCCCCAAGAAAAAAAAACATTCCCATAATTAGGGTAAAAATACCTACCTCTGGAAAAAAATTCAGAAAAATCTGATCGTTTTTACTAAACTAGAGTTAAGAGCCAAAACATTTTGCATGTATGACAGGTTCTGGACAAAGAAGCCCACTGTTGTTTTGGTAAAGGTTGGTTCATATTATAATTTTATGTGAAAAATTACAAAATTATTGTTCTATATGCATAACCGAAGAGGTTTACAGTATATCTAAGAGGAGTGGTTGAACTTTAAATTGATACTAATTATATTGTTATATATACTCGGATGTGGGAGTTATACTCAAATATTTACAGGTGTCTACGTATTATGATATTATTTAGTAACCCATTATCACACTAGAAGGGCGATTATATAGCGCTGGTCTCTATGGAATTTTACATACATTTTTATTTTTTATTTTCGGTATTGATCAGATGATATATAGGGGATAAAATGAATCGAAAAATCATTTCATTTTTGTCGCGGTTACTAATTTGTCTACTATTCACAATGGATGTTTTGATAATGATCTGTCAATATTTAGGAGGTCAAATATGCCAAGAACTTTGTGTTAAGTATTCAAGAGAGTGCAAATATTGGAAAATATTGTTGAGTCTCGGAATATTGATTCGCAGAAAGTTAGACTCGTGGTAGTTGTTTGGGGTACCATCAAACTTTAGGGCACGTTTTGATTTTTCAGGTTCTTATGAGGTGTCAAATCTTTCTACTAAATTTTTTCAATATAGGTTTACGTTTTGGTATAACTCCCATATAACGTTACCATTACCATTTTCGGTATTTTGAAAGTTTTAGCAGCATTTTCCCACATATATTACATTCATTTATCATGAAACGTTATTGTAGGCTGACATACATATATACAGAAAAAGATTACTATATGCCCATGTTTGGACATAGCGTACATAAAAGGTTAGAGACCCATTGTCATCATTTTGAAGGTTTTAGGGGTATTTTCCCATTGTAGTGGCTGTTATTTGGCATTCCGGCATATAAGTGGTAAACATAAATTCTTGCAAAGAAATATCTATATACGTAGAAGTTTCGATATAATCCCACATAAAGGTTTCGCCCCGTTTTTTAATTATAGATTTTCTCAACGAAGTGGCCATAACTTGGCATATCCGATTCGTAGTGAATTTGTACAGTAGTTTTATACTTTATGGTAATGTTAATTGTGTGCGATGTATATTGTAATTCTGTTCATTAATGGGCTTGATAGCCTTGAAATAATGTGAAAATATTGAAATAAAGGAAATGAAATCCCCTATTGAAAATAGCTTCAGATATATATGTAGTTCCTATATATTCCGAGTTTAAATTGCTCAACAAGATCCCAATGTTGAAATTTTAATGTTTTGTCTAAATCGATTAAGATTTCAATATAACTCCCATTAATATTTTCGACCGATTTAATGTAAATGATACACCAAACTCTCAATGGTTGTCTAATTGCGACGAAAGCGTTCCGTATAGAATGGCCAAGTTAATCTAAATTGACTCCATCTATATATAGACTTCATTTCGGACTCATGTACTTTATACGCTTAGCAGATCAAATCAGATACTCCCCAGCTTAAAATGAAATTTTAATTTTTTAATGTTTGGTTTATTAAGGTTTGGCAAAAATACACGATGTGCAAAGTTTAGATCAAGTCGGACATTCTGTTCACTTGGTAATGGATTAAAAAATTTAGATTGGGTATTCCGTTCGTGCCATATGAGATTTTAAAATGTTCATACTTTAAGGGGGAGGTATTAGAAGGGGTGAATCGATAAGCCTAATCTTCGCATGATTTATCCGTAAAGTTTTGATAAATTTGCCAGTCTTAAAGTTTTGATAAAATGTTTGGTCCAATGGGCTCCATCTTCGGAATTGATTTAGTTTTGGTAAAAATACCAGACAATATTGGCAATGTTTAGAGAAATCAGTTAATCCCTTTGATAGTTATTTCCGTACCAGCCAGGCGAACATTTTGTAATTCAATCGAATCGTCTAAAATGGGAATTTTTTATAAAGAAACATTTACCATTACATATGGGGGCATATATCATGTGGATTGCAAATCGTTACCAAAATCATCAAAGTATTGAAAAAATGTATATTAAGGCTATTCCTAAATAATAGTCATAATGTTTACCAAATTTAGAACCTTTAATGTTAAATGACAGATAATTTTGGTAAATTTAACCAAAATCATTAAAATACCAATAACACAGTGATAAAAAAACGAACTTTTTCTTTGTGGATGAAAAATTCCTTATGGAGACAGAATTCTCCAAATATCAAATTTTTGAGTTATTGCGTTGGGATACCAACATTGGTACAAAACCTATGGCTACCAATCAGAATAAAAAAAATACAACGGCAACTCTAGTATTCAGATCAAAACCTGTGTTTTTCCTATTTTGTTTTGATCACCTTTACCGATTAAAATGCATACATACAAGCACACACTTGTTGCTGACTTGTGCTTGACGAGTATCTTCTCTGTAAACGTCACAGATAATATTGAGTATCTACACGTTCCAATTGGAATTCTTTTTGATTGATGATCGAGATTACATAACAGTGTTCGATGTCAATGACAAATTTTGTTGTGAATGGTCATTAGCGATTTAAATATACGTATAATTATTGTGAAATTCAAATTGTCACATCACTTGACACCCTACAACATGGTCGGGAATACTCATTAAATACATAATTATTATTAAAAATACGAAGACAACAATAGAGTAGTAAAAAGGTCGTCCCTTGCAAATAGATATTCCATCCTATAAAATAGATATTCCATCTTATTAGACAATATACAACTCAAATATTTATAGAAATTCCAGAGGTGAACTATAGTATAAATATTGCACCTAAAAATTTTGCATGGTCGATAGAGTCTAAAAATAACTACAAATTCTATTGTTATAGATATCACATTCAACGTGTAGAGACGGCTCGACACACCGGCAGACTGCTGAAACGACAAGAGGTTCTCCAAAGCATTACATTCGCACAGGTTCTGTACCACACAGGCGTATATTGAGTAAACAACAAGCTTTCCATACCATGATAATCACCAAATGCCTGATGAAACTCAGGTCCGCCCTTATAACACCCCAGTTGGTAATAACGACCGTTGTCAACATCCCGTTCATCCTATCTAAGTGTAAATGAAAATTCATACTCTGAGCAGAGCTCACGAGGCCGAATAACATTAGAGATGCCAATCTGCGTTTCAGCAACAGATGCCTTCTCACTCACCTTAATCGCAAAAATCGACGAACAATGTCATACATTACCCACCAATAAATAGTTGTTTTTTATACTATTTTGCAAAAACAAAATTTTATAAGCGCTATTCAAAATATAGTGAATTTTATATATCATGAAAAATAAATACATATTTTCACAAATTCGTTATTTTTCATTGCAGAACCCTAAATTCCAAATAATACATTTAAAATTATTTATTCACGATTTAAATTTCACAAGGGGTATGACAAACATTCTACACCATAATAGTCTCCATAGTCAGATCAATCCTCCTCAACTCCTTAAGAAACTACAACAATAAACTCTAAAACAAAAATCCTTTACCAAACATTTGATATTGATTCCAGCTATACATTACAAACACAAAAGCAACAAGTTTCACAGGTTTCACCAACAACAATATCCAACTGCAAATAACCAAGAAAGAACAGTTTTCTTTTGTTACACGATCACAAGATTAAAGCTAATATTAGCTCCTATTAACTCCTTTTTTTTCATTTCCAGAATACAAAGGCCACCAAAGAACCAACAACCTCAATAGGAAATCTCTTTCTGCATTGACACGACACTGGTATTAGGGACGAAAGGATTAACGTACGGCAAAAACAGGTCTAACAAACATTCAAGAAGTTCAAACAGAAAACCACCTCCTGTCCTACAGTAGACTTGAGAAACAACAACGTCATTGTGTCGACCCGGGCACTCAAAAACTCAACAACCAAATCAAATTACACTCGTAACAAATTAAAGTATACCCTGAGCTGAGGCGTACGCCACGTCTATTCGTATAACCACAAGAGATGGATGGGAAACCGGTAGTTGGTAACAGAACTGGCGATGAAGAGCTGGAGTCAAATGAAGAACAACAACACTTGCTTGGCGGTCAAGTGCAACGCCAACACCAATGGCAAGTGCAACAACGTCAACAACCAACAACATTGGCACGTGATGAAGGTAAGTTTGCAAAGATTTTTTGACTTAAAGTAGAATATGTATGTATGTGTTGTGATAAGCCTGTAAAAATTTAGCGGGGAAAAAATGGAAAATGCGGAAAATTATTAAGTACTTGTTTTTAGGGCGTAAATAAAATGATTTAAATTGGAGCCGCGAAATGTTTATATCTTCAAAATTAAGTTGCGTTCAAGTATTCCCGGAGTCGACTTACTGCAGAATACAATGAATCTCAAAGGGAGTAACCGATTTGATCCATTTGTGTACCCTACACAACTATATTGTCGGGGTATTATAGCTTTGTTTGAGTTTATAACGACTCGAAATATTGGTCCTACATTTGAAAATATGTTTATTATGTATTATACTGCTCCGTTCATTGGTTTGAATTTACAAATTTAAATCGTGTTTGAAGATAGGGAATATCGTTCAATTATTTCTTATAAGTCCCCCACGAGATGTTAAAAAATGAATGTATAACATAATTCGGAAGGTGTATCTAAATTGAAACAAACGTTGTACAATATAATATTTTTACCAGACTTAAGAGGGGAGGCTTGTGGGCGGTATTCACTCTTTATTTATTCAGCACGGTGTCAACTCCATCAGTGCTATTCAGAGCTAGTCATTTTGATATAGAGGTTCATGTTTAAAACGTTAGACCTCTCTCGGGATCATGTAGATCCTTCCTGACATGCCTGAGTGGAGAAGTTCTATCCAGAATATGATGGTTAGGATGATACTCTTTGAAGAACCCAATTAGGTACTGCAACTATAGCATATGCTGCTATGCTGGTGCAAGGGAAAAATCTTCGTCTCCTCATGTAGATGGTCCACCGGCGCCTTGTTGCATTTGCACGCTTGCACATCGCTTTTATAAGAGGCCAACAAGGTTTCCTGACCTGACCCCAAATGCTGTCGGCAAGCGACGTGGGGGCATTGTTCCTACTTGTCAACTTATCGCAGATAGCTGCGGTTTGCGGGGACGATTTAATAATTCTATCGAATGTAACCCCGAGAATATTGGAGTAATTCGTGTTCGTAATGATATGTTCCTCGACGTACACACATTAATTATAACCGCAATCCATGGATATTTTCATATTCCTTGCGTGGAAGAAGGCTGCCAAATCGACAAGATAGCTGTTCAACCTTACATATTTATGCTCAGCGATAGGACCCGATGTTATGATCGTATAACCATCTCAATGCTGTCTCCGGGCGAGATGTAGGGGATAATATAGCAGTACAGATCCAAACTCACAATACGGAACTTAAACTTATTCCGGAAATCTATGTACGACTAGACTCTACAAATATATTTTAATTAAGGTTTAAGGGCTACTGATAGGTAAAAGGTTACCAACACTGTTATATGGCATGTCCAGTTCTGGTTTAATCATCGACGATGTGAGGTGGATGTATGGATAAGGCATACAACGCTGTCATTGGGCTTTGTTTCGTACGGAACCCATGTTGAGGATCCGCTACAAGATAGCTTTTTCTAATGCTGGGGAGAAGTAACACCTCTAGAGTCTAGACTACTTGTGACAAAAGTGAGATCGGCCTGTACTATTAATTTTTGTTGGCATTATTCAGTATCGTTGCCATCCTGTCCATTATCAAGGCTTCCCTAAGGATGTGGGCGGCTATGGAGAACTTTAGTATTTTACTTAGACTCAGATTTATGTCTGGGGATGACAATTGCAAAATCCATCATTGTAAAATATAGTGGTATCTTCTCGGCGGGAAGAGATTTTATGCGACATACTACTCTCCTCTTTGAGGTGTCATTCTCGATAAACTGTCGGTTAAAATAACAGACGCATGTCTTCAGATTAGTTACAGTTCCGTTAAATGTGATTGAGGCACTTTCATCCTTCTTCCGCTCCAATGGTACGATGCTCTATACATTTATTCCGCTTATAATCTGCTGACTTCCAATCTGAATTTCCTGACCTTCGGATCAGCGAGGTTATCATCATCATCGACATCACACTCATTTGCTGTCTCTGCTGGGAAAGTAGGACTCATCTCGAGTATTCAACCAGCTGGAAAAACAAAATCTAATTGCTGCAATGACTTCCTGAAATCAGAAGGAATGGAAAGTTATTTTACACGATGGTTGAGTAATTCTTTGCATCATGTGATCTTTTAAACATCCTGCTAGAAATAACACATGTTACTCGCCGATGAAATCGATATAAGCGGTAACAGCCACCTTTGAACCAATTGTGAAAGAGTCTGCCAAAGTGGGTCTGGCAGTTGATTAACGCGCAAGACGTCCAGTAGACTCGGACCAACTGTGGAACTTGAGAACTCCAGCTTCGAGGTAGTCAAAGATTTTATATACCTTGGTACCGCCATAAATAAAACAAATTACATCAGTTTTGAAATTCGGAGAAGGATTGTGATGGCCAACAGATGCTACTATGGTCTAAGTAAGCAGTTTAGAAACAAGGCCACCTCCCGCCAGACTAAACTCGGAGTCGAATGAACCATGAGTTGTACCATCTATAATCGGACATCGGCATTGTCAGACGTATCGAACTGCAGCGACTACATGTTGTGTGAATGTATGAAGATGCCCCAGCTCAAATGGCATATAAAAGCGAACCAGCTAATGATTCACGAAGAAGGGCAAGGTCACGAATAAGATGGAAAGAGCAAGTGGAAGACAACATTACCGAACATGGTCTTTCAAATTGGATAAGATGGACACAAGACCGATGCGCTTGGAATTTTTTAAGCTCGGAACCACCGTTCTCTCACAAGCCAGCTAAGTAGGTAAGATGTACCATTAGATGTAGGAACAGTAACGTGTGACACTAAACGCTGCAATTTGGGTTGCTGTTGAGGAAACTGCTGGGGAGTTTCGACGAAGATGACATTGTGGACAAAGATTCGGTGGGGATTGCGCTGTAGCAACATGAGACAACGTAATTCCTCTTAATTCCCCCACCGAAAATGTGGTGAATGATCTTGTCGCAAACCGAACAGAACCACGGTCCGTGGGGTTGCAATCCCAGCTCGGACGCAAATAATCCGAAACGAAACATTCTGGGATATTTAGCCGAAAAATCTCCTCTATATCATTCATTTTGCGGTTAGGAAACATAAGGATGTAAGATACGCACAAGGACTCGAGGTACGAGAATGATAATGTTTGGTACAGTGGTTTTCTACCCAATCATAACATAAAAAAATAATCGTTAAGGAAAGTATGATATATCCTTTATTCGTTTCGACTAAAGACTGAGCCGTAAAGAAAGGTATAAAGAATTTTCATGAATTTGTGGATAACCAGCAAAAAATCACCAATATATAACATAAGCTTTTTTCTTCTGGGTTTTAATAAACTTCATCCTCAAAAGGAATTTTCAGTCTAGTAAAGTGCAGGTCAATTTTTTATCCAAAACACGAAACTAATACATTTTAGGAGTGAGTCAGTCATGAGATATTCGACTTCGACCGATGTTTCGTTCTGATGGCATTAACAATTATACATCAGAATTCTGTGTTTATACATTCCTGAAGTGGTCCGAATTCCATCCTTTCTTCAATTTCTATAACATTCAAATTCTTTCCCTTTGAAGTTCCAATAACTGCATCTTGTTCTGTAGCATAAGTGTTTCTTCTACATATCTTCAACGCATTCATGGAAAATTTTTTTTTTGATTATTTTGTTCTTTGTATGTTGTTATTGCCAGTCAGAACAAATGTTACTGAATATTCACGAGAAAAATATGCAGATTTTTTTCTTCTTCCAACTTAAATTGTATTGTCGTCGTTGTTGTCTTTGTTAAAGAAAATTGCTGTATTGTAGTTCTGGCTGTTGTTAATACAGTTTTTCCCGGTTATAAAAGTAGTCGACAAAAAATATACATTCCTTCAACATGTATACATGATTGGCTGACTGGCTGGTGGTATGTTTGTGATGTCCTTCGAAGATTTTTGCAAAATCGGGAGGTGATTTTGGAAATGTACTAAGTCAAAATGATAATAATTCTTTAGAAATTTTTATTAAAAAATACGCCTTTTGCTTGGATAATTATTCAGATAATTTTTCTTAAGAAATTCACGCCTTTGCTGAGATAATTCTTCAGCCGTGCAAATCAAAAGATTTGCAAGGACTTTGGTGCACCATTTACCTAAAATCGGGCGAAACTATATATGGGAGCTATATCTAAATCTCCACCGATTTTCACGAAACTTAACACTCATCATTCTAAACTTAATTCAGTACGCATTTCCAAAATTGGTGCAAATCGAACGATTTTCGGCGACTTTGGTACACTATTTACCTAAAATCGGTCGAAAGTATATATGGGAGCTATATCTATATCTGAACCGATTTTCACGAAACTCAGCACACGTCATTTTACACTTAATGCAGTACGTTTTTCCGAAATTTGTTCAAATCAAATGATTTTTAGGGACTTTGGTGCATCATTTACATTAAATCGGACGAAAATATATATGCGAGCTATATCTAAATCTGAACCGATTTTCTCCAATTTCAATAGGGTTCGTCCTTGAGCCAAATAAATGAGCTGTGCCAAATTTCATCCAATTCGAATCATAAATGCGACCTGTACTTTGGTAACAAAAATACAATGACGGACGGACATGCGTAAATCGACTCAGAAAGTGATTCTATGCATATTCTTAAAAGGAACCATGGGTCTATCTCGATTCCTTTTGCCTGTTACAAACATATGCACAAAGACATAATACCCTGTACGACAGTATGGTGAAGGGTATAAAAATCCACGCCTTTTGCTGTGATAATTCTTCAGGAATTTTATAAAAAAATCCACGTCATTGGCTGTGATAATTCTTAAGAAAATTTTATTTAAAAACCCTCGCTTATTGCTGTGATAATTCTTCAGAAAATTATATTAAAAAAATCCTCGCCTTTTTCTGTGATAAAAATCGTCGCAAGTTCTCTTGTTCCTTAATTTACAATAAAAGTGAACTTATCACTTTTTGTAAATCACCAA